ACATCACTGATGGTCAACTCATCCAACACATCACGGCAACTCTTATCGGAGGAACAGGTTGGAAGATACTTCGTATTGTGGAATCACAGCCACCATGGTACCTATGAACTTCCTCCGAAGCATGCACAAAATTCGGCCCTGATCCAGGTTTCTTACCAATCTTCCCTGCTTGAACGTCCACTTTTTCTTGTGCTAGACTCGCTCTCTCAAGCCCCTAACGAGACCTCCGAGGTGGTCCAGCGTTGGCTCCAGGACCTGCCCTCCATACACAAGTAAGCTCCCCAACTTTTCAGGCAGGCCCTTGCCTCTGGTATAGTTACTCAATGATGAAATAGGGTCTTTCACATAGTTGTTTCACGGCTGGATAGTCTTTTCACCCAAGCTGATCCCTCTGGGGCAAATCCAACAAACCTTTCCATATCCCCCGATGATGTCAAGGAATGTAGCTATCTATTGGAGACGATTCATAATATCATATCAGTCATCCCCCACAATGGGTGGGTTACTTTACTGACCCAGGCATCAGCTCCAGGTGACCGACACCATGATGCCTCTGCTTCGGAAGGTGAGCTTCATGACCTCAGTTTGACATTCCGAGACTCACAATACCGGCAGATAACACCGGGACCCAGACTTTACACTCGACCATATTCCACGCCATTCTAAGAATTGTTAGTGGACCGAAGATTACGGCACAGACAAACTTCGACGAAGTTAAATTGCAGCAAACATCCCTGCTTGTCATGCGTCAACTCCTGCTAGGCCCAGGAGCTGAAGAGGTGGCTGAGTCTGGAATTGACTCCCTTCTTGTCGAACGACTTTCTGCTGTTCTAGATGATGGCGGTAGCGTTGCTGTCCAAGGGGCTCTCATTGACACTCTCCTTGCAGCACTGAAGGTTCGGTTTGCTCAGGCGTACTTACCACAGCCTCCTCCTAGACCAAAACATCAAAGAGCCAGCTCACGTGAGCGTTTGACAAGTCCCTCTATTCTGTCATTTACGAGCGACAAGGCCGAAAAAGCGCCCCCAATCCCTACCATGCCACAGCCTCCACAGCAGCTCCTAGAATGTCTTCTCAAGGGCATCAGCTCTCCGAACTCGAGGGGCAGCGTGGAAAGATGGACGATGTTGCTCTGTGAAGTGCTTCCGCTGTACTCGGGATCTATATTCCAGATCATTCTGATGCTAGTGGATTGCTTCTGTAAGGAGATCCAACTTGCGTACACAAATCTGCAACTTTCGTTCAAACACACAAAAGGTTGGCCCGAGGATAGGTCCGAACATGCCACCATAGCTCTACTCACCGGTCTTGAAACCTGCATCGCAACCGCTCATGAGCGTCTTCTTGTGGACGAAGCAAATGTTCCCGCCGCTAAGAGCCCAGATCAACCCCAGGGGTTCTTTGGAAATATGGTATCAGGCGTGTTTGCGTCAGACGCCAGCCACGGTCGTTCAACGGCTGCGAATAATAGACTTACTGTCTTACTGTGCTTCCAAGATGCTGTACGCCTGTGCTTTTCTATCTGGGCTTGGGGAGCGGTGGAGAGGAATACTCTTCCGCAAGATGCTGAGTCTCTGGCATCCTTCCAATATACATCTTTGCGCATGAGGAACCGCTCCCGCCGGATCCTCGAGCATCTGTTTACAGCAGAGGCCCTTGAATGCCTTGAGACATTAGTAGAGTTGTGGACAAAGACGGACAGCAATACCTCGTCTCTTATTTTCAGCCTGCTTCATACTCTGGATGGGTCTCGACCAAAAATTGCAATCCCGGCTATATTTAACGCCATCTATACTAGGACGAACCCTTCTGCTCTAGACCCCAGTCGTAAATCTACTCAATCGTCGACTCTTACAGAAAACGAGCTAGCCGGGTTTCTTGTTACTTATGCCAGGTCCCTTGACGACGATGTTCTCGACGAGATTTGGGCAGACTGTACTACCTTTTTGCGTGATGTTTTGAGCAACCCATTTCCACACAGACAGATACTTCCTCGCTTGGTTGAGTTCGCCGCTATCCTCGGTGCGAAATTGGAGAACACCAGTTTCGGTGAGGATCGTCGAATGAGGAAGGAACTTGGGGTGCGTGATCTAGAAGTTGATGAGCTATTGCTTTTGCTGACCTTTCTAGGATGTACTGCTACGGTTACTCACGGCAATATTTACCAGCAAACCCCTAGGACTGTCACAAGAGTCGGGCTTGCTGGGTCGAGGCTCTGTAGAACATGATAATCTGTTAGCACCTCATATCGGACCTGACGACATGCTCAGCATCCTTGCTAGTTCCATGCCTGCCTTTACAACTACCTTGGGTGATTCGGATCGTATTACTACCGCTGTATCAGGCATATCTACCCATGTGATAGGACCCCTTTTGCGATCGCGTCTTTTCCCAAACAACATCAGCCACAACTTTATGGCTCTCTTACAACATATTGCAAAAGTTCCGGCTGCCGCGAAGATATGGAAGAAAGACATCGCGGAAGCCTTCAATGATCCTAGATTCTTCAGTTCTCACCTCGAACTTGTGAAGGAAGGATGGATGAACCTATTGCGGCAATGGGTGCTTGCCGATAAGGATCGATTATCTGAACTGATGTCTCGGCTTCCACCCCCGAGCACTGCGGGCATCATGTTTGGTGTGGGAGCGTCTGCTGCCCGCCTAGATGCCGATAGGAAGGCACAATTGAACCTCCGTAGAATTACCCTACTTATATTGTCCGCGAACAATGATTACTTCATTGGAGAACTACCGGGACTTCTGCAGAAGCTAGAAGATCTCCTAGGGGCTACCAGTTCATCATCGCCGTCATCTACGACTAGAGCGGAGATATTCATGGTTCTTCGGGCTCTTGCACTCAAGAGTTCCACAACTGTGCTGGCTCCGTTCTGGCCGTTGATCAACACGGAGCTCCAAGAAGCGATTGCTGCCGTTCCGCTTGGATTACAGCAAGAGGTATACAATCCATACGCATTGTTGCAGGCGTGTAAGCTTCTAGACACGCTACTCGTCCTTGCCCCGGATGACTTCCAGCTACTCGAATGGCTTTATGTTACAGATACGATCGATGCCGTCTATCCTCCAGAACGTTGGGAGCCTATGGCCCTTGCAGATGAGATTTCACAGGGCTTTGGGACGCGCTCTGCGGCCGCAGACGGCCCCAGAGAGTTGAACGAGCTCGGTTATAGCGTAAAACAGCCGGGTCTAACAGCGGACTGGATCCGTGAGACGGCGAAAGATGAACTCATTGATCGAATTCTTCGGCCTTGGTTTGAACAACTCAGCATCCATGCTTTCGAGAGCACTTACAGCATGAGCAGTCCGGGCTTGACAACATCGTGTGCTGATCTGTTGGCGGACTTATTCAACGAGAGTACCATGGCAAACTAAGTCCCTCCTTTTCTAACTTTCTGGGCGACCATGGTGAAATATTATATGTATTATATCCAGAAATTGGGTACAGTTTCTTTCGTGTTTAAGAGTTAGATAGTGCTGCAAGCCGTTGTGCAGCTTTGCCCCCTGCTGTTATGTCAGGCGTTTGGAGCTTGCCTACTGGATTATATCCTAGGGATCTTTACGGTCGATGAAATGAATAGACATACATCCATAGCACTTTCTTTCAATAGTAGCGGAGAAATCCTTGTGGATGAGAAGACAAGGACTATCATCAAATGTACTGGCACTGAAGCAGATACCTTAGGCAGGGATACATGCTTAACTTCGGGCCCGTGATGATTAGCGGCCGTCTCCACCCGAGCTTAAATGGCAAACACCAACGTCACTTCGAGCTTTGCCGAACCTCCATCACTTGAACCTGTAAGAGCAGCAAATCCTCGCTGTAATTTACTTTCCCGGAATGTTCCTTGCTAATCAAAATATCAGACACCTGGAGCATTTATGATTATGAGTGCTTACAGAATGGCATTTCCTGGGTTGCGCTCCGTCGCAACAAGGCGCGCGGCCATCTCCATGCGAAGGAGCTTCTCTACCTCGCCATCCGTGAGGGCTGCTGCAGGCTCCACGTTGCCCGCTAAAAAACCTGTTGGGGCTTTTCGCGGAGGGTAAGCTTTACTGATCATACTTCTTCAAAGGCAGGGTACCCTCTTGATGTAACTAACTTGCTCGTAATGCTAGAATATTTGGCTTCCTTACTGGCACTGTTGTCGCCGGGGCTTCCGTTTACTATTACATCCTTGGGGAGTACAGAGTGACCAACGAGATGTTAACAGAGGACATATACGTATGTTATGCGAATTTCTTTTGTTTCATATCTCTCTTTTCCCTCTCAACTTGCTGTTATCATAATTTTCTGTTGTCTTTGGTTTCCTTTTTTTTTCAATTTCTTTCTTTTTCATTACTTGGTCTCCGACAATTTCCCTTTATTATCTTGGTGCACAACGCAGATTTGCCTTCTCCCCACTAGTAGCATCAGGTTTTAGATATAGCCATAGCTCCCTTTTGCCCCTTGGTTCTTCATATGTTGGGCTGTTCGCTCGAGGTAATCGGACTAATCAGTATAAACAGGCGCTTCAAGCAGCAACACAAAAGCTTCAGACATACATCGGTGAACTGGAGACGAAAGTGGATCAACTTAAGAAGAAATAGTGCTCCAGAACAACGCCATAACCAGTTCCAAATCTATCTTTTATCAGGAGTTTGTTTTCCGCATGGGTTTCCGAACATATTCAATTTTTCGAATGCAGTTAATGTTCGGCATTGAGTGAGCTTTAACAGGAGAACGCGATTATTTCATGCATTACATCGAATATTACATAAAAAACAGTCTTATTTATGATATTAACCGGATATTTGACATCTTGCCTTATAACTGACTGTAGTAAATGTACTGTCAGGTCAACTGCGTCATTCCCTTTGAATGCAAACATAGCAAACATGGAATATTCTATGGAACATTTTCGGGGAACGCCAAAAGAAAACGCCTTGGCGATAACATTGTCCTAAACCAATACAACCCTTTTTTCCCCCATTTCGTACTAACAATGTATCACGTCGAACTTCTTCCGAGTACGACAACTCACCTCACTCCGGGGTGGACCTACGTCCCCGACAGGGGCTTTGACCCATCCAAAGCAGCGATCACGCCTACTATCGGCAGGAAACGAGGCATTCGCGACCCCGGTAGCCGTGGAGATGTATCATCAAGACAGGCCAACGCGATCATTCGACATTTAGCAGAACTCGATCGGGAGAACCACAAGGATGTCCATATCCCTATCCCAGTGAAACAAAAGGATGCAGCTGGAAGAGGTATCTAGATCTTCTCCGAGATGCGTTGACGTGTTTTGCGACAGGACAAGGCTAACAACTGTTCTGCCACTCACCAGGGACAAGAGGCAAAGTTACCTCAAACGTGCGCCGTATCCTTCAATCGCAGAAGACCTTCAGGAACTATCTCGATGACGAGGAAGCCGCATTGGCGCAAGCAGGCCAGTCTACGACGCAGCGTCCCCCAGCCAACAAAGTAACAAAACCATCATCATTACGACGAAGCTCGACACCTGCCACAACGCCCAAACCTGAATCCTCGCGTCAGAAGAAACAGCCCTCCACTGCACCCGCGCCACAGAGGGCATCAGCGACCCCTGCAAACCCACCGAGCGTCGCTACCACAGAAGACACGGAGAAGGAACTGGAGAAGGAACCAGAGGACAAGCAAGCACTTCTCAAAACCGAGCACGATGACGACCCCCTCCTGAGATCGTATATCCCCTCTGCACCGTCGGAGCGTATTATGCAGGCACTTCTTGCGGAGCCTCCATTGACGTATAATGCTTCTCGCGTCGGCCCGCCAGTCACAATGAAATCGCAGCGGTATTTCTGCTGTGTGTGCGGTTACTGGGGCAAGATCCGGTGCAAGAACTGCCCTTCGCGGACCTGCGGTTTGGATTGTTACAAACTTCATGAGGACTCCAGATGTGGGGCGTTCTACTAGACCGTTCAAATGCGGATTGGCTAAAAAAACCTACCGGATGATCATTTTTCTCGTCTAGATTGTCATACTGGAAACACCGGACTGCTTGATAGAAAATGATTATACTCGCCTGGGGCGGGATCTGCTACTCGCTGTCCAAGGCAGACACGTGGGCATACTCCCTTCCACAACCTCGCGAGGCACCATTTTGTGTTGGTGAGAATATCATGAAGAACATAGGTGCTATTATATTATAGTCATAGCATGGATCGTGTGCCTATTTGATTCTCCCGGTGGATTCCACTCCTACTTGATGGAACAGAGAAGAAGCCTTCCTACAGGCTCGACGCCTATCTAACGCTACTAGGCCTTACGGCTTGGGTAGCCTATTCGACAGAAAGACGCTCCGATACACGGGCTGAGGGAAAGTAAAGCGTCCATCTTCACTCAAACATAATCGTGGGCTTTCCCCAAGTCCAGGGGCTGTCTCCTTATGCACCTTCGCGGTCCTAATCATGGTTACTGGTGGTCAATTTGACCACTTAGAAACGTTAAAATTAGGCAAACAGGTGGGGACCATACATCTGAAGCCTTTGCAGCTCTCTGAAATAGTAGACCAAAGTCTAGGTCACATTTCTGGGGCGGACGTCTTAATACACTATCATCTTTTCCCCATATCCAGCAAACAGCGTGGAAATATAGCGCTACTATCATTATTTTGATGGAAGATATATAGGTTTCGATTTCTATCATACTAAATGTATACATATGTATGTGAATTAACACTTCAAGTTGATACCAGCTCGTAACTCCTCTTGCCGGATTTCAAACATAACCTGGACCCCCACAAATAGCGCGGCACAGGCCGTAGCCAGGTAAACCAGACCGGAATAAGACCCCAGCATCTCGCTAAGCAAGCCCTGGATTCCGTCCAAGCCCAAAGCAAACCCGACCAAATTGGCAATCATCATCATGAGAATGTTCCCTACTGCACCAATACCACAAAGGACGCGGTATGTATTCGGACGGGAACGCCATTTGTGCGCGGGGAAGAGGAGAGTAGCGATGATCTCGGGGAGAACGAAGAGTGTAATGAGCCATCCCCACATGAGGAGACGGAGGTTGAGGTCGTGCCAAAGAGCAACGAAGGTGAAGACGATGAGGAAGTTGAAGATCTGGCGGGCTTTGGCAAAGAGTACAGATGATGATTTGTTATCGTCGCCACGTGCTCGACCTCTTCCTCCACCTAGGGGCACGTAGACGTAGCGCACGATCCAGCGGTTGAATGAGCGGTGCCAGGCGCGCCAGAAGGCGAATGCGGAGTAGTTGTTTGAGACGCAGCGGACCATGTTCTCTGGTGGGTCGACGCCGTCGACTAGGGCCCAGAGCCGGAAGAATCGCCATGGAATTAGGAGCTTCAGCCAAATGATGTGAAGGTTGAAGAAGCCTAGCATGCTGAGCTGGCCAGGGCTATACAATGACCAGTCCGGGTGTGCTTGGGAGATGGCCACTGCGTAGATGAAATGGAGGATGAATTCCATGGCCAGTACGGTCAAAAGGAAACGGACGGCGTAGCGAGTAACACGGGATCTGGTAAGAGATAGAGGTTGGAATCGCTGTTGTGAAATATAGTCGTTGAATGTTAAAATGGGGCCGGCTAGATATAACGGCGAATACAGCACATAGGCGAGATAATTGCGGCCATTGAATGCGGACGCTCTGCCGGGATGTTCACACGATCGCGCTCCGATAGTGCCGTGGGATCAGCTTGTTTCTTCTTATAACCGTTAGACAAGAACTTATTTTATGGAGGGAACGACTTACCTCAATGGGACTCGAGGCTGGATAATCAAGGCTCCAATAGTAATCCATATTGAAGCTGATCTGCCGCAATATCGTGACCTTGAAAAGCACCTCCCACCGAGGCATTATACCCCCCAAAACTATCGATATATCGACCCCATAGGACTAGAGGAGAGTCCTGCCCGGCGCTATCTGCTGAAGACACCAGCATGGTGGCTATGCGCTCGAAGGGGTAGCCTGTGCAGAGTTCATTCGCAAACAGTATCGCAATGTTAAATGTCCAAGTAATAGTAGGCACATATTGCCGTGGAAGCGACTTCGCAATCTTGTAGTTTACATATAATATACCGAGCACCTTTATGGCAGATACGCCATGGAGAGCAACGATAAAAATCAGGGCGAAATAAAAGTCAAATCGGACCCGGCGAGCCAGGCGAGCGTCTCCCTGAGCTGTAGTCGCATTGGTCTTTGATTGAGTCGAGCCTGCATCGACCGGTTGTACAAAATGTTCGTAGACACGACGGAGTAGTGGGTGGGCAACCAAAAGGGCAAGCAGGTAGGGAATGTTATCCCGGAAGCTGGAATACTGCGCATCCGAATTGTCCTACTCAAGAGGCGAAGAATTAGTAACAGCATGCAGCATAGTATAGACCAGAGTACTTACCACTTGGCGCCCAGCTATCCAGCCAGGGGACAGTAAATGAGAGTATGTTGGATAGGTTGGATGACTCTCTAAAGCATGGTCAGCATCGGCCACCTCTGTTGGCGCAGAATGCCATACCCTGTGACACTTCGATAACCGTTTTGAACATCAACGGTACCGCGATGAGAAAGATGACATAGTATACCCAGAACTCAGGCGTGCGCCACTTAGGAGGAGCAGCATTGCTGGCAATTGCATTTGCGCGGGCATCTTTGGCGGGAGCAGATCGCGTGTCAGCAGCGACGGCCTTCAGCGGAGTATTTGACGAGATAATGAAACGAGTATCCAACGTATCCAGAGAATATAGCCGTCGGAACCAGGAGAGAATTGAAGTCATTTTAAAGGAGCATTGCGTGGCCAGAGCCCCTCAGAGATGTGTCGAGGGGGACTGATTGCGGAGAAACAACAATATTTGGGAACAATCCGAGGATCTATTATTGGTTCAGGGGCGGAACGTTGATTGGCGATAAGCGGAATCACGGGTTCACCAGCAGTGTGATCTGGGGGAATCAGGTGACTCGTCACGGATGAACTTCTCTCAAAGTATTCAATTTGACCATATGTACTATTCTAGGCATCGAAGAATGGGAAGAAAGAGAGTGTTCGTTTTCCTGTTTTGGCAAAGAATGAAGATAGCAAAAGAATAAACCGCGATCCTAAGATCTATATATATACAATGACGTCAATACTCGAGGCTAGACATGAGAGGCGATCTGTCAAGGCATCTTTGTAGCTATCGTAAAATAAGGATCGCTGTCTAGACTCAACTTTAATGCCAACTGACCCTTTGTACATGAATCGAATCCGGTCAGGTGTTAGTCCAGCGCGTACTGTTTTTGACAAACAGCCTGTCATAGCTCTTCGTGATGGGCGATGACTAATGGGTCTACAAACCAACTTCGATTGCTTGAACATTAGTTAAACAACGATACTGCCATGACAAAGACATAGATTGATATTTGCAGAAATACTGGCTCCGGAAAGAAACACAGCTATCTCAACATGTCTACCCAACGGGTACAGTATTCTCCCCTCATAGCCAGCAAAGGATAACACACCCCGCATTCATCTGTTACGTCATTACTTCCAAGGTGGAAGCGAGGCTGATATGATATGCAGATTGCATTCAAGGTCAGTGGCACCGTTCAAGGTAGGTAATGGCGAGATAGCTCTACACTTGTATCAGTTGGTTGATAGAGCGCAATGCGGCCTTGATGGGAACTGGTGTGACTAACGAAAGCAATAACCTAGGTGTCGGCTTCCGGTAGGGCTCCGCCACTCTAGCAAACGGAGCAATATATTGACAGTTGCTATGTTGCAGGGACTTCACACAGAAGCGTGCATCCGAGTTTGGCTTAAAAGGCTGGGTGAGAAATACCAACTGTGGACGGGTTCGTCTTTCTGGTTAACGATCCTGGACATGGTCAATACCATGGCTAGTTTGTAGTTACCATGGCTGATTAGATCATCAGGTCGAAGGACAAGCCCAAGGAACGCCTGAGTCCATTCAAAAACTGCTCAAGGAAATCAACAATGGCCCACGACTCGCACACGTTGTTAAAGTGGAGAAGAAAGATCTTACCGTTCAGGATAGTGAGACCCATTTCGGTGTCAGGCGGACCACTGAGTCGGCCTTTGATGCTACGAACTGATTTTATTTTATATTGTTTGATTGTAATTAGGCGATATGTTGTGGCCTGGGTTAATTGCGGCTTTGCGCGCACGATTGTATGTACGTGTATACAAATGAACAAAGGTGTGTATACTAAGCTGTGGGAGAATGTTTATTTATACAGTCCTGGATGCCACTATGAATGCCAATATACTCGAAGGGAACAGGTAAGCATTCGTCTATTAGACATGTTGCTCGGAGCGTTACGGACGACTTCGATAGATCATTGCTCACGGAAGTCATGACTTGTCTCCGAACTATAACCTGCTCATATTCCCTCGGGGCTTGGAAGCCAATGGATGGAGTGCCCCTTAGGAACTGTCACTCTCGACTACTATTAGTTAGTTAGGTATCTCTCATCCCTCCACACATATATCGCACACTAATGAAGGGGAGGAAAGGCCCTTCACTATCACATCGCTGTTGCCCCAATTCCACTATTGCGCTGTGGAGATACTTCGGTCCCGTTACTACCTGGGAATCGACTCTATCAAGATATCTCTACTTCTCGGCCGGGAAAAGGGAAGCTCATGATGAAACTAGTACGAAGAGCTTCCATATAACTAAGGAGTTCGGGGTCTGCTGTACGTAAGAAGTCCAAGGCCGAACAAAATCTGCAAGGGCTCTGACGTATGGAGAGCCCGATATACGAATCAACCAAAGAACGATCGGGTCCCAAATCGACTCGGAGGTCAAGCTTCGGCATCGCGTTGAGTCAGACGCCGTTCCGGTTTCCACCGAAGTCATCTGCCCGCCCCTTCTGTACATTTTTAAAATACAGAAGCTGTATCAATATGTAATATACGGTATCTCGCCGTTGGATGCCTTGATTCTTTCTCGGGCATAGGGATAATGGGGGGACTTTTGGATTCGCTTTCACTTCAGTCGCAGACAGGATACAGGGAAGTTCTATTATAGGATATCTTAATTAAGGACACACGGCGTCAAAGGGATGTTCGCGGTGGTTGCTTCTATGTAACTTCGGTGTAACTTCTAAAGACTTGAAAGTCTGGGTCCCTGAAAGACCCGCCAACAAAACCTGTCCCATATCTTGGATGCCCTTTGAGAGGCATGTCAGAATCCCGCAAACGGGTCTCAGTTGGTCGTCCCGGTGTGGCTCAGGGTCGTCCTAATTGTCAGCATCTGGCGAGAAGATTTGCGTCCTATGATAGTATATTGGCTTTGTCTGGTTCCGGCTCTATTCCGGTTTCTGCCATAAGCTCTTATCCAAAACTATATATAGATAGACAGTAGAGGCGTGATGTACCAGTATCCAGTAAACAGCACCTTTTGTGATCAAAGCAAGACACTTTCTACTACCACTACTACTACTACTACCTAGCCCTCAAGATCATTGACCAATTATCCAATACCTTTAACTCGGATGAATTCGATAACAACCTCAGTGTCCCTTAGGGCAGCTTCGCTTCCGAAGACATACCTGCACCTCACAGTCCGAGGATGCACAAGTCCTCTTGCCACGGCTGGAATACGATGTAGCGGTCCTTTGCTCGCGAGCAAAATCAACCACCAGACGGCCAAGCGTTTCATCTCATCGACGCCGCAAACACAAACGAAGGAATTCTTCCCCCCACCAAATGCGCCTCACATCAAGGAGGTAGAGACGGCTTGGGTCCACCCGGTGTAAGCATCCCTCGCCTAAATCATTCTGGTCAGTGTGAATAGTGGGTGCTGACAATACTAGTTATACAGAAGAACAGATGCGCCACGTCGCAGTTGCTCATCGGGAAACGAAGGACTGGGCAGACTGGGTCGCACTCAGCACCGTTCGATTGCTCCGATGGGGCATGGACACTGTGACTGGATATCGACATCCTCCCCCGGGCAAAGAACATGAGGCCAAGTTCCAGATGACCGAGCAGAAATGGCTCACACGATTTGTCTTCCTGGAGAGTGTTGCTGGTGTACCAGGAATGGTTGGAGGCATGTTAAGACATCTCAGAAGTTTGAGACGGATGAAGAGGGATAATGGATGGATCGAAACTCTGCTCGAGGAGGCATACAATGAGCGCATGCATTTGCTCACTTTCCTGAAACTCGCTGAGCCAGGGTGGTTTATGCGACTCATGGTTCTTGGCGCACAAGGTGTCTTCTTCAATGGCTTCTTCCTTTCCTATCTCATGTCACCGCGCATCTGCCACCGATTCGTTGGTTACCTTGAAGAAGAGGCAGTGATCACCTACACTCGAGCGATTCAAGATATCGACAACGGGAAACTCCCCAAGTGGGCGAACTTGGAAGCCCCTGAGATTGCCGTTCAATACTGGAAGATGCCTGAGGGCCAGCGGACTATGAAGGATCTGTTGATGTATGTCCGCGCAGATGAGGCCAAGCACCGAGAGGTGAACCACACACTAGGAAACTTGAACCAAGGCGCAGATCCCAACCCGTACTCGGTCAAATACAAGGACCCAAGCAAAGCTCATCCTGGCAAGGGCATTGTGAATTTGAAAGCAACGGGGTGGGAGAGAGATGAAGTGATTTGAGTGTCATTCTTCACGTTATGGAGCGTGTGACAAAAGCTTTCTTTCATGGCCGTTTTCTTTCTCTTTCTCTTTCTCTCTTTCTTTTCTTTCCTGCTTTCTTGCTTTCTTTGTTTCGTCTCTTTCTACCTGTAAAACATCTGGCAGGACTGGCTGTGTTGAAGCAAGCTTGTTTTATTATGGGATTTCATTGTGCACGGCGCACGTCTTTCAGGCGCAATGATTGTTGCAAAGCACATCTCTATTTTCACATGGACAGGTTGTAAATAAAATATAGAACTCCTCTTCTTGAATATATTTGCCTAGACGGTGTCAAGCATTGCCGTTTTGGAGCCATTTAATTTCATCTTGAAACACCGGAGCGTCGAAGAAGATGGAAAAAGGTGATCCGCGCTCATGAAAAGGTTGGTCGAAATCCGGGGCGTTCAGGTACGGGACCCGCCCTAAGCCCCAACAGGTCTAGCGCCAAGAGATAAACAAAAAAAGGATGGCAAAGGAAAGCATCGATAACAGAAACCTTCGAGGGGTCTTCGTGAGACCCATGGGTCGCTCGGATGAGTAGGTTCGAAGAGCTACAGAACAATTCGACAGGAACATACAGAAGGGTCAGGGGCTTCTCTGGATAAACGGAAGTACCGGCGTGACGCGAGATTGATCTATTAATACCATCACTACCGAGGAGGTAATTAATTCCAGGAAGACGTGTTAACGACGCTATCGACCCGCTTCCCCTTTTAGTGGGAAAAAGTGCCCCCCTTTCGAACTTCCAAAGAATTATTCTCTTTGCCGATCGATCACCGTCACAAATTCAACCGAGGACGAGTCCCTATTTTTAATAAGCGTCTGACCGTTGTCGACCTGACGACCACCTGTCCTTTCCTGCTTGGGATTGAGATATATCACATTATCTACTATCAGATCTGTGTCCCTCCTTGCATTATTCCCAGATCTATAAATTCCTCGTCAGTGCTGCACATAACGCCCCGGAAAGAGCCAGCGCATTAGATCCACGCGATTATGGATGAGTCTATCGAGTCCGAGTCCGTTGCCCCTCCTGTCCGTGCCTCTTCACCCTCGCCATCCATCATACCGACGCCTGCTATTTCCTCCTGTCATTCCCCGTCAGACCGCACCGTCTCAACCGTGTCGACCCTTTCGTCCCGTTCAGTCTCGTCCGCCACATCCGCCGATGCCAGGTCCTCTGTGTCCACTGTCTCGTCGAGAAGACGAGGGTACATCCGACCCCAGGGGGTCGAGTTTGCCGAATCGGCCAGACACCGCGAGAGTGTGATGAGCTTGGGCAGTATAGCGCACCTGCAGTATTACTTTGCCCGCACAGGCTTGTTGGAAGGGAAGGGCGGCCAGGCTCGGGAGTGGAAAAAGAAGCAAAAGCCGGATGACATACCGAGACTACTCCTCACCCCAAATGCTCGCTTTATCGAGGATCTGACCGAGAGCCCGACGGACGAGAGCTCGGAACCCGCCGACGAGGAGTTCGATGAGCATGAGGTGATGCTACCTCCGACAGTGAGCACCTATAGTGTGAAAACTTTCCACCTCCCACCGCCACCGGATCTCGTAGCTCTGCGAAAGGATCTCCGGGATGCGTTAGATGAGGCCGAAAAGAGCATGGAGACGATTGGATCCCAGAAGGAGCCGCCGCGAAACATGAAACCTCCACGTATCAGCGTAGATGAACTTCCTGACATTGGCGATCCGACGCGCAAGATGTTAGCAGGTGCCACCCCATTGGGTTGGCACGAGATTCAAGGCATGCGTATCTTGGATGTTGTGACTCTTGCGATTCGGGCTGCCAGGATATACTATACCGCCCATGAACGGCCGGAGCGACTGGCGTCGATTAAAAGTGAGCGGGAAATACGACAGGAACTATTTGACATGCTGGAAGTCCTGAAACGATGGGCCTCTCGTAATTTCACCGGTGGACTGCGGGACGACGAACGATCGTCCATCATGGGTTGGATGGCCAACGTGCGCAGCATGCTGGCGCAAGAAATTCATATGGAGGAGGCGGAAGCCCAGGAGCGACAAGGATGGGCTTGGGCGCGTGGAAACTGGAGTGGCAACGAGAGGGCGCGCGAGGAAGCCTTCCTGCGTAGTTTGCTGGAGACGGATGCATTGCCAACATGGACAGACCCCGAAGGTCAGACCCTACCAACTCCGATGCTCGAGTGGTTCCGAGACGGGCGCGGCCTGGTCCAAATCCATAACCAGGCCGTAAAGAAATCCAAGAGACCCTTCTGTGAAATCAAATCTTTCCATGAAGACGTTGCTAAACCATACCGACGGGCGGATAATATTCGGTACTGGACCAAGGCTGCGGAAATCCGGTGGGAAACCAAGTTAGAAATGGATGTGATGGGGGTGGTCTCCGGGAATAGCGATGAGGCTTGGAGGAAGTTTGACACAGCCCTCCTTACCTGGTGCAAGGCAGTTCGCGAAGAGCTGATGCGAGATTGGCGGGGGCCTGATCCAGGGAGCGCCGATGCAGTGCCTCCCCATGACGGGGTGGCCGTTGACCCTGCGTGAAGGACGCGATCGGTATGAAGGAGAGTTTGGTGCCTGATGGCTGGGACCACGTCGTATTCTGGGCTCACTATTACGTTTGTTTGCTGTCCACTTTGATACCCCTTACTTGCTGGAGACTTGCTTGCTATGTGGGAGTTTTCTTTTTATTCGATTGATTTTCTCTTCTCTGGTGGTTCCATATTTATTATTATATGGCTGAGTTTCTGGTCAATTTGTCTCTTTTTCCCCCATGTCTTCATCATCATCTTTTTTGTGTATTCTTTTTATTTAATTTCTTTTCAACTATTATGGATTGTGGCGATATGCCTAAAGTGATTATTTCGGAGTCCAGTTACCGTGGGATGTGTACATAGCAGATATTCAGGTGTGGACGGTACCAAACATACCGTGGATTACATACCTGACCATGGGTGGTGTTTTCTTTTTTAGGTTTGTTTTGATTATACAGGTGAAGAAAGCGGTAACATGCTCGAGTGGTGAGCTGGAGAATTTCATAACATGAGGGAAAAAAGACAATAGAAGAAAAACATTAAAAACAAGCCGAAAAGTAACGGAGAGAAAGCAAAAACCATAATTTCCTTATTTTTCTTACCCAACAGACGAGGACCTCCAAATTGAACTTGACCGAGCGACCAGACGACCTTACCTGGAAGGGGAAATATACACTACTATTAGTGGTGTTCTCCTGAAGGACGATCAACGGCTTCCGGAAATCAAGGGAGAAGATGAAAGTGTCATTTTGATTTCATATCCTCTTTTTTTTGTTTTATTCATTTTCCCAATTTCACTGCGGTCTTTTAAGGTTCCCTCCGCCGCCAGATTACCCGCTGCCCAAACCAAAGAAAATCAAAAAATACCACCTCAACCAACGAACAACAACTACTTATCATGTAGCCGATCATCTGTATCGCCCCCAATTGTTGTTATTTCTCAAGAGAACTCACACTCTAGACTAATCTTGCACTCGTCTGACTGCACATAAATACTAACTAGTGGCTGGCTTACTAGTCTGATATATTTTTGTTTTTGTTCTTTATTTATACTTGCAGACCACCGACAAAAAGCGACCAGGGTGGTCTTATTAGAAAGGGGGGACCATCGTGCATACCAACAAATTCCCCCCAAGAACCCAAAGACGCGCCCAAAGAGCGTTGATTTGCTGCAACCACATTCCACGCTATCTTTCTCTAGCCTTTCCCACTACTGCAACAATACAAACAGACCAGGGCGGTCGCCCCGTCAATACGTACCATGTTCACCACGTCAACTGTCACAACTGCGCCCACCCACCCGGATTCCGGTCCGAAGACGCCCACGACATCGTCATTATCGCAGTTGCTATCTTCTCCCCCTCCTCCTCCACCTCCCGCAGTCGCCGTCTCTCCTCCAGAGAATTCATCGCCGCGACGAATCAAGTCCAAATCATCCCTGCGCAGTCTCCGCAGTCTTGGGAGTAGCCTTCACGACGACGATCTTGACGATATCTACGATCAGGCTGGGTCGGACAAATCACTCATTCGACCATCCATCCTTCGCCGCCTGTCTCCTGGTCTAGCAGCGCGCGTCAAGCTGTTGGATGGGAGTCACAAAACCGCGACTCCCTCCCGTAACTCAGGTGCCGTTGGTCGAATCCCCGAGGAGCACATCAAGGAATTAGACAGCCGCAACAAAGACCTTTCGATCAAGATTGAAAAGAGAGGACGGTCGTGGAATGCGGTACACTTTGGTGGCAAAGGTAGACAACTGCAACAGATTGACTCAACCTATCTGGAGGTTCACGACCCGGACGCAGAATTGCCTTCCCCAGTGGAGTCAGAACCGGTAGAACCCGTCGAGGAAAGTTCCACGTCGGTCGCAACCCAAGATCCCGTTGAAGAAACATTAGTCGATCAAGCACCAGACGCCAGCCTAACCCAAGAAGTGGAAGAAGTAGAAGAACCGGAAGAAGCTCCAGTGGCCATGGCTGCAGTTGCGTCTCTGCCAGCGCCACTAGACATCGAATCAAGTGCTCCCCATAACATGCAGGTCGAACATGACCAAACAGATTTCGAGAAGTTTATCCAAAGTACTAGTGACAACGAAGCTGAGCAACCTCCACCGCCTCCACCGAAAGACTCGCCGCGCCCACCGTCGGCCAACTCGAACGTACAATCTTACTTTAACCCCCAGGGTTTGCAGCGCCCCGAATCAATATACTCCTTCTCTCGCGCGTCCTTCAGTCACCAGCTAACCCAGCTCACCTCCATCCCACTGCCCCAACCGTCGTCCCTTGAAGCCAGCATTGCCGCAATACCCAACGCGCCATTGGCCGTCAAATCTCTCACTGGGTCCGCGGCACAAATTCAGATATGGATCAAAAAGGCCTCCGATGTGTTAAGTGGTCTAGATGCGGAGGACGAAGTGGAGTGGGCAGCAGCGGGCGGACGAGAAGGATTGGACGGGATCGACAAGGCGATTACGCGGTTCGAAGGTCTAATGAATATTTACGTGAAAGCCATTGAAGATGTGCAGCTTCGAGCCGACATTGGCGACGTTAGTGCCGACAGTTTGAAGATCATTGTGATCCAGATGGACAGTATATTACAAAGCTGGGCGGATATCAAGAACCGGCTAAGAAATGTGAAGGAACAAGTGGAGTTGGCTATGGAATGGGAGGAGCTCTGGAATACCATTTTGGGGGACGTCAGCGCTGAGGTGGAGAGTCTGAGCCGGCTACTCTTCGAGATCGAAGAAAAGCGACACATCAATATGGCAAATGCATGGGCCGCTGAGCAGGAGTCGAATAGCTCTGGGCTCGATATTAGCGAGTTGGAGACGATCGTCGAGGAAACACCGAATAATGGCCACTTTTCGAGTAGTAACCGACATAGTATCTTATTCGATGCGCCACCGACCCTGGATACCCCGCTCATCCAAACCCCACAGGACGACTCAGAGCATGCGGATCTCATCGCTGTATTTGCGCGGATACAACCCTTGCGGGCATCCCTTGCGTTCTTGCCCATGCGGTTGTCCATGTTTCAGTGCAGAGCAGACCGGATCTTCCCCAGTGCCTGTGCGGAGATGGAGGAGCGGCGAAAAGGGCTAGAGAAGAGCTATCGGACCTTGGAGGCAGATGCGGAAGCTCTGCGGAAGGAGTTCAGTGAGGATCGGTGGGTTCTTGTTTTCCGCAATGCTGGCATGCAAGCGCGGAAAATGTTTCTTTCGGTTGAACGAAGCATTGCCAAGCTGCAAGAAGCCCTAGAAACAGGTGCCCATGTGCATAACCCGGCGGGACTAGCGAAGCGCGTTGAGAGTTACGAGGCCAAGAAGCAGCATTACATCCCTGCGATCGAACGAGTAATATCTCTCATCGAGAAGGGAGTGAAGGATCAACTGACGGTGAATGGCGAGACGGTGAATCTCCTGTCAGACATGGCGTCGAGGATGGATGCGCTGAAAAGGAGCGTGGAGGTGATGGATTCATCGCTCATAGAATTCAACGTGGCCCCGGGTCAGCACTTGCGCGACTCTATCTCAACTATTGTCACCATGGACAGCCCAGCCACTAGCCTTATCGACACTCCCGGCAGCTCCCCACCTTCATCGGTGGTCATGACCCCTGCTAACAAAAGCTCAGGTGCTTCTTTGGGAAGCTCTAGCAGACGGGGAAGTTCTGTGGGCTCAGTCGCCCGCAGTACCGTGGCCAAGGTTCGACGATACTCAGGGATACCCCAGCCCACGGCAGCCCTGACGAGCAAGAAATCGGCGATCCCGAAACCAACACTGACGGCCCCATCTCCCTGCAAACCAAGTGGTCTCTTTACACCTACTCCCGCTGCAAAGAAGGTGCCACGTCCGCCTCCACCTGTCAAAGACAATCGCCCACGATGGAACTCTAGTGTAAACACCAATGATCTGGAAGTCGGCCATGTCTACAAGTCAAGCGCGCAATTCCGCAAGTCTTCGGCTCCAAGTCGTACTCCTCGTCCTTTGTCAATGATGTCCCGCCGAGACCTTGCTGTATCTCCTGCTCCCTCAACGGCACGGTCCCCCAGCCGTGTCTCCAGCCGCGTTTCCAGCCGCCTTGCATCACGCAGCCCTAACCGCACCGGCTCTCCCACGCCCAACCGCTCCCTCCTTGACCCTCCACCCTACAGCAAGCTTCGGCGTCCGCCAGGGGCGGAAGGCATCAACAACACTCCTCGAAACCGGCAAAGTTTTGCCGGGATGTCGTTCAGCCGCAGTATCTCACACGATTATGGCCGTAACCTGCTCAGTCCCACCAAGGCTGACGCCCGGGGACTGCACTGGGCCATGGGGGCAGCCGGCGCATCAGCTTGCTTCCTTTGCCGCGAAACAAAAGCGGGCGAGATAGCAGTGCGGGCACTCGTAGTAAGCTGAGTGAGCGTCCGCCGTGGCGGTAACTTGCTGGAATCTGTCTGCGACGGAGTCATTTCGCCGTATCATAACCACCATCATCATGTTTGGATTCTGTTTTTATGTACTATTTCACTTTATACTAGCATATTTATTGCCCCTGTATTATGTGCATTGCGGTTCGGGTGCTTTGTGGTGTCGCCATATACCATATCGTTGCGGGTCAGACTGGTTTTCTTGATTCCCCACTCGCATTGTGATTGTGATTAGCGTTCTTGTATGGAGCATGGCATTGGCTTTGATGATTTTTTTTTCCCCTGTTTGTTTTTCAACATTTACCAATTAATTGCATTTGATATAGCCATCAGAACCTTGAACTAACTCTTCCAACAAATCCTGCACATCCATTTAGCCATTTAGAGCACATGTTATCTTCTCATGGATAGACAATGCATTATTTCCTGTGCTACCCGTTAACTCTATATCAACATAGCCTAGTCAACGGTACTCACTGATCGTCATCACAGAAAGAAGATATAAACCCACCAATCTATTTTATCTATTTATCTATATACAATCGCACCCCAAGCCACCATCTCTCCCCAATATTTTACTCATCTAAACCAAATCCCTCCCAATGATCAACGCATCCACCAACTCCTCACTATTCGCCAGCCGCGCTGCCCCAGGCACGCGACCAATGATCTTGAAACCCAGTCGCTCCCAGATCTTGACCGATGCAACATTGTTCTCAAAGACCAGGTTAAAGACGGAGTATTTGTAGCCCTAACGCAGTCAACACTGCTCTACGCGGACACACATACATCCACACCAAAGAAACAGCAGCAAAGGGAACTTACCAACTTCGGCGCAAACTGCAGATACGTCTCGCCCATGACGATGCCCACTCCACGGCCGCGCGCAGCAACCGTCGTCAGGAACCCTGCATTGCAGACGTGCGAACACCGGCCTGTATATACACCTCATCAGC